CTCTCTCTCTCTCTCTCTCTCTCTCGTTAATTAGCGCCTCTTGTAGCTAGCCTCGTGTCAATAACCGTGTTGCGTGTTATTAATGTTAAACGATGGAACAAGGATCAAACGGATAATGGAATCGTTTGAAATAATTATTGTACAATTATTATTCCCTCATTTTTCTTTCTCTCTTTTTCCATCGCCACAACGGGGGCGGAATTAAATACACAGGCGATGAATAATGCTAATAAACGAGAAAATACCTCCATTTATATTCGTGTTGAACAATGGTTTCCAATGGTTGACGCGAATAATAATAATAATAATAATAATAACGTTTTATGTAGCGCAAGGAGGCATCCCGGGGACGAAGAATGAAAATCTCTGCCCCTTTTTTTTTTTTTCGAAATCCTTGAAACATATGATTGAGGGAAAAGGATTCGTTGGGGTAAAGTCGGTATCTTCAGAAGAGTGGAAATTTACTTTGTATATAATTCGTCTTGAGGAGTTGTGTCTAAGGATAATCTCAAGAACTTTGCAAATTTCGAAGGGCAATTCGAAATTCTAATTTTCTCTTGCGAGCAAGAATTTTAATTCTTAATCATCCCTTTTTCTGCATTGAAAGTCTTTATTTTCCTTGCGTTCCTTTTTTTTTTTTTTTTTGATGCAGTGAAATTCGAAGAATCTCTTAACGGATAAGATTTCGAAAATTACAACAACAAAATTACAATTTTCACAATACCAATTACGTCGGCCAACCGAGCCGGAATTTATGCAGCTCGCTCCGCATTTTCAAATTTGCATAATAATTACGAGACAACGCGTACGACGAAATTTGCATATTATTGTTGTTGTTGTTGTTGTTGTTGTCAACGTATTTTTAGCCGGTTGCATCGGATACGATTAAAATCACAATGGGATTTTTGTATTCTCCCAAGGAAACAGGGTTTGCAATTTATCCCCGAAGATCGGATTTATTTCAAGGTTTCCAAGATCATTCGAGACCCTCTGTTCGTTATCACAAACGAGGGCAATTGCAGTGGAAACACAGATGGATCAAACACATTTGTTAGAGGAGAGCAGTCTCTCCTTAGTCTTTTCCTTGAAATGAAATCTAACAATGGCCCTGATCTTGTTAGAAACTGAAACTTTTCTCTTTCATGTATATATATAAGACACCTTATTGCTCCGACAATTTAAAAATTTCCTTTGTCTCTTGTGTTATTATAGATGCTAGAATTCATATTTCCTTTGGAATAATTCTTGAACTTGACTGCGTTACAATCATTGTCATAAAAGATATTTATTACTTTTGTGAAAATTTATTCATTTTACACAGAATGAAAAGTAAACGTTCTCATCAGAATTTTTGTTCACATCGTGTGAGAATCGAGAATGTATATACTTCTTGAATAGAATATTTATCTATAGTGAAGATTGAAAAATTATATACAAACTAACTAATAAAATCGCGATATAAATATTTCCACTTAAATTGATATTAATCATATGCGCATAAGGTGGGGTAACACGTAAGCCGTATTCATTTCAAAGTCTCTCGACAGCACGTGCACGAGCTTATCGCAGTCATAAGCTTATCGTTTATATGGAATTGATATAAGTATTCTTGAATACCTGGCAGGGATTTACAGGCGACAAGCTTGTAATAGGAAATTCGATTTCCGTGATCCGACGAAAATTGAAACAGAATCCTTCGCGTGAGCCTTCTATAAAATGTTATGACGTGTCATTCCTTCGTACACCCGCAAATATTCGTCGGGGACCGAGTTGGTTGGCCCATTAACCCGTTGAAAAACTAACTAATTTAAAATTTTCTCCAACGAACTTACTTCGACCAATTACTCAACTTAAAACTACTCGAACCACATATTCGTATTTTCGTTATTATTGCGATTAATATCTCCGCCAATGTAATTTACGTAACTCTACGCAACGGACTCGTGTTCAGAAACCTTCCTCCACTCAGATCTCTTTCCATTCACCGAAATCGCCTCACAAACGCGCCATTCCGAAAGGACGCGCGAAATAAAATCGAAAGAAAAAGCATCTCGCGATGTTTATGCTCCGTGAATCAAGAGAAACTTGTCTAAGAAAAAAGAATGTATACAAACGCGTGTGGCGTGGAGAAGAGGCAACGTTTCTACTTTGTTCGCTTGGCGCATGCGCATCGAGTCTCGGTTATTCCATCCGACGAACGTCGCAATTAAGAAGCGGGCGACGACGTCTGTCGAGAGTCTTCGTTCGCCAACCGTGAAAAGGGTCTCGCGTGCGTCGCATCCGTTGCGTGCTGCCTCGCAAATCACGCGAGGATATCAAACGTTTTAAGAAGAGGTACGAAAAAATTAAGATTTATCGAGATTCTTCCCGTGTCAATCTTTCTTCTTTATCTTCTTTTTCACTCTGACCATTCTCTGTCCCATTCAAATTTGCGGCGAGAGAGATTCGTGCAACGAGCGTGAGTACAGACAGGCCGACATCGAGAATTATTTACATTGGAAACGTGGTAATAACATTGGAAATTGTTATATAAGAAGGGGATCTTATCGCTTCCTCCACGAAGCTAACTATTCGACGAAAAATTCGACGAGAAGGAAGCGAATTTTGTCCAAGTTCGATTTGATATTCGACTTTTAATACCACTTTGAAAAGGATGGGAGATCCAGGCACTGCGGTGTATAGGGAAAGACGTGGACTGGTAATTCGAGTTGCTTTGTAATCGGTAATGACGCAGCAGCGACCGGCCACCATTGCATTAAAATGCACGTGTAACCACGCGGT